AAGCTGCCGCCCCGCCCAGCCGCTACGGGGCCAGCTGGGGTCCGGGGGTCCCAGTCTGTGGTTCCTCTACGCGGCTGCCGCTGCTGGGCGGCAGCCGCGCGCTGCGGGCCCGTGTGACGGGCGGGGAGGCCGGCAAGCCGGACGCGAGCGGCTCAGGCGGCACCGAGCGCACCGAGTGCCGCCCGGCTGGCGGCGCAGATGGCGACTGTCGCCGGCTGGGCGGCGCCCCCGGCCGTGTTGACGTCCGCCCCGCGTGCGCCGGCCCGTGTCACGTGCGGGCGCGAGGCCCTCCGCGCTGGGGTGCGGCGGGCGCCCGGCCGCCGGCCGGCGTCTGGTTAGCCTCCGCGTTGACGTGTCGCGAGAGGTGGCGTTCGCCGGTCGCATGCGCCGCTTCTGCGGCACGTGCCGTCGATTGCCCGGGCTGGAAGCGGCTCAGGCAGGCGCAGGGCACGCTGGCACCGCGACGGGACGGTCCAGCTGGCTTATTGATCAAACCGGCGGTGGCCTTGGCCTTGACGGACGGGTAGGCGGCCCTGGGCGAGACGGATCAACGCACGGTCTCGGTTGCCGTGCGCGCCGCGAGCGGCGGCGGCTTCAGTGGCGGGGTCTGGGTCCGGCGGTCTGGCGAGCTTCGGTCCGGTTTGGCACGACACACGTCAGAGGCCGCTTAGGGGCCTTTTACTAGTGTATGTTCGATCGTCTGGTTACGCGCCAAGGTCATTATGCGTTGGAAGGTCATTGTGCGTTTGGAGGTGCGTTATAGAGTATGTGGCATGCGTTGAGGCGCGCTGTTATTTGCAGCACGGGATGGGCCATTTGATGCGCATTGCCTCCTCACTCCCCCTCCCCTTCCCCATGATACAGCAATGCGAGTCCCCTTTTTCCGTTATAGTGACGTTGGTAGCAAACCGCTTTCTTTGTTCCGAAGACTCAGTTGTTTAGAGCGCTTCTTCCGAGTCATGCTCCCGTGGCGGGGTAGGTTCGAGTCGCTTTAGATGCTCGATGTTTGCCCCTGGCTTGATGGCGGATGTCTTAACAGCAAGCAGCAGCGTTAAGGGTCAGATGGCAGGACGGACCGTGTTTAGCATTCGCAGGACGTTAGTTTACGCTGCAAAATTATGTCGACCAGGGGTTTCACGATCGGGTAACGGGTCAGGGCTCACGCAATGAGCGCTTCTTAACGCGGGGCTTGTTTTTAGAAGGTCATCCATCCAAAACGTTTTGACCAAATCTGTAAAAAGACGTGATATCACCCCGATCCTGTGAATGTGCTTCCTATCCAGCGGGATAGCTAGTTCGGTATGGTTTACCCGAGTTTTGATGTGAGCGATCAGCGGATGTCTGTATATGCTATGACTTAACCGAACGGAGTGCGTCGCCGTCCCGACGGCAGAGTGGCCGCACGCCTGCTCCGTGTCACGCGTGCGAGTGGCGGACGTGCGAGGTCCGAGGCGCACCACTGGACTCGGGAGTCCGCTTCCCACCGAATGGGTGGGCTTGTCTCGACAAGGAAGGAAGCATTATGACCGGAGAGAAATGCCGCATTTTGCCTCGACGCCCTGTGCGGGAGTGAGCAGAGCGTCTGTATGACAGGTTTGCACGAGACTTAAAGATCCCCGCTACGTTTCGGTGACGTACCTGGGCCAAATGATCCCATGGCTCTGACCTTTGTGTTGTGGGGGTCATTGCCAACGCAAAAGACCATGCCGTGCGATGACTTTGACTCCGACTCCACTGGAGCAAAAAGCGTGCCCGACTGCGCTCAAACAAATAAGACGGAAACAAACAGTTAGCGCACCGGTGAGGTTCTCGGCTGACCTCATCGCCGACCGATTCTGGGGCTGGTCCTGTGCCCTCCGCCCGCTGCTATCCTCCGCCCGACGCTCGAGGGCGCGTCACAGGGGCCGTTCTGGCGACGGCCGCCAGCGACCGCTTCCGACCCGGCTGGTGGAGGGGTTCATGGCTAAGCTCAGCGGAAAGAGAAATCGGTTATGAGAATTATGGCGACAGCGTACGTTTCCGGGTAGCTGACTGTCCGGTCTCCTTGCCACCATCAGCTGTCACGTCTTTACGATTTGTTTATACTTCATGTGCCAGTAGTCGCCGTGTAAGCCGGCCCGCTGTCCACTATCCACTGTCTGACCATCTGCAGGATAAACGACACGACTGCAACAAAATGTTATTCGTTTGATATCGAAGAAGCTAACATTGATAATGACTCCCGTTAGCGTCGCCGCCGCTCGCGTAAGCGCGAGAGACAGCGCACACTCTTGGCTGCGAATGACTCGGCAGGCTCATTCTGCGTCTTGAGTTGTAGTTAGGAAAGGTGTAAGAAGAAAGCAACCTCGCTTTATCGCGTCTTCTGGAGTGGTGCACGCATGGATGTGCGGCGTCTTGTTTACCAGCGATTCATCCAACGATGCCACCAGCTCGACAATCATTAATATTTACTTCTACAGTCGCCCACGCAGTGACAGCTTTACTCTGGAATTGTTAGAAGCGTCCTTTTCGTGTTTTTCTTGCGCACTTGCATGTATATAGTGTGGTCTTGTTCGTGCCTAAACGTGACGAGATATCGCGCGACGTTTATATTTTGTGTAGGGAACAGAAGTGCTCTCAATCATTGTAGCTCTTCTGTAGGTTCGGAATGTTGTGTTGTTTCATTCGTCAGATTTTGATCGATTTGTTTTGGCCGCGAATGATCTGTGGCTCGACGGTTAAGCCGTCACCACCCCTTAAAGCCACGACTACGGGCGGCGGGCGTCTTACTCCGCACTCTGGGCGGGGGTCACACTAGCACGTGTTGCGAAGCTCCAACCGACAACAGTGTAAACGAACAGTGCAAGAGTACCGGTGTTCTGACAGATCGGCCTGTTGCGTGGCTCATCAGCTGTAACGCGACCTGGGTCGGCGTCGCGACTTTGGCATCTGATAACCAGGCGAGGCAAATGGCGCACCCTCTGAGTATGCAACACTGGCGGGATCAGCAGGCGCACATTGTCGCGTCCTCTATATATTGCAGTCTTGTTTCGGCCACCTTGCGTCTAATAGTCTAGCTCGCCTGTCGTGTTTCGAGATCAACCGGCGTCCGTCTTGCACGCCCCGTCTCCTCCGTCGCCTTTGTTTCCGTGATCGGATCAGTTTGCATCGCGCATCTGTCAGTGTGGGTTTACGCGCCGGCGCGCCGGTCGCACGTGCGGCGGCCGCCGGCCGCCAGCAAAAGGTCGTACCTGCCGGGCCAGGGTGCGTTGTCCCGGCGCCCCCGGCAGGCCGCACGTGCTGCCGACCAGCGGCCGGTCAGACGGCCGGGGCGCGCCAGGCGCGGCCCAAACACCCAGCCCGACACTGACCCCCGCCGCCGTGCCCCGCTCGGCGCCCCGCCAACGGGGCCACGGTACGACGCGGCCGGCCTGGCCCTCGTCCGGTGGCGTCGGTGTCACCCGCTCGCCCGTCCGTCCGTCCCAGCGCATCTGCCGGCGTCCTGTCCACGCCGGTTCGTAAGAAGCCGCCTTTGTGACCGCTCCGCCGCCTGGTACCACTGGGGGCGCGCCGCCCCGGCGCGCGCCGCTGCCGGCGGCACAAAGCGCCGCTTTTTCGCCGGAAAGGCCGGCGGCGCGGCGCTCTTTGTCGGGGCGCGCGTGCCCGGCGGCGCTGACCGCGGCCGCTGGCCTGAGTCAGCCGGGCGGCGCCCGGCGCCGGCGCCGCTTCTTACGCGCGCCGCCGCCTCTGGGGTCCGCCGCTTGACCCCGTTGGCCGCCGGCGGCCCGACGCGGAGGCCGGCCCCCGTGCGGACACAAAGCCGGCGGAAGGCGTCGGTGGCGCGAAGAACAATCAGGCGGCGATTTTTGCTCGTTAGCGCGGCGGTCATGGCGGTGTGTACGTGGTGGATGAATGATGTTCTGCCGTGCGTCGCCGATGTGGGATGTTCTGTGGGTCACGTTGCGCGCGGCGCGGATGGGTGTCACGGCTGAGAGTTGGCAGCAAGAAACGACGAATGTTGGGCTCCGTTGGTCGCTACCTTGAACTTCCGGATCCGGGAACCCCCACCTGGTTTGCCGTCCGTGAAGGACGTGCGATGGGACGAGGGCAATCGGCTTAGCAGGATGAGGCTTCGGTTTTCACGAGGGATGCCGGCCGCTGATGACGTTAGTCACTACAAGGCGTCGATGGACAGTCTAACGTTGGTTTGTAACCGTGGTGATGCCTCGGCTTTTGCGCGTCGTTTCTCTCCTTGCTCTCTTTTGCAGGTCTACCCAAACCCTTCCATGTTGCTCCGCTGTCCTATTCCTTCTCCCTGTTCATTTTTTATACCGCTTCTGGCTGTCATTTTTTACACAGTTTCTGACTGCTCTTTTCCCTCTTTCCTCCCCTTCCCTCACTCCCCAGACCCTCCTGCATGCGCCTCCCGTCTTTCCTGCCGGCGGTGCAGCACTCTCCGGCTCCTCACACCCGGGCCCGCCCCGTCGGCCCCGCCGTCGAGCCGCTGTGACACTAAGGGCCTGACGTCACGTCAGGAATGCCAGCCCGCCGCCCCCACCGTCACGCGCCGTGAGGCGCGAGTGTCCGCGATGTTTCAGCGACTAATGAATGGCTCCGGCGAAGCCCAGCCTCACATGCTCTGGGGCCGGATGATGAGCTGTGTCGGCCCGGTGCCGGACGCTGTCCACGCCGGCCGGACAGCGGCTCAGAGCCGGATGTCCGCTGTGGACACTGCACGGGAGGGAGGGGTCGAGCCGGTGTGTGTTTCAGCTGATCATCCCTGTTGTCCGAGGAGGTCCGCGCGGGTCAGGCGGGCCGGTATCGTGCTGGTAGGAATGCCCGGGGAGGGCCGCGCTGGTCAGGCGGGCCGGTATCGTGCTGGTGGGAATGCCCGGGGAGGGCCGCGCTGGTCAGGCGGGCCGGTATCGTGCTGGTGGGAATGCCAGGAGTCGCGCTGGCTCAGCGTTTGCCGCTGAAATATGCACGTGGCCCGCTTCTGAGCCGTCGTCCCTGTGCTGCAGGTTCGCATGGTGCAGGGGCACCATCAGGCGCAGGTGAAGCGGGAAGAAGTGGAGACGCCGCACAGCAGCGGCATGTACTCCCCCAGCACTACCAACCTGCCGCAGGTAATTGACCCCACACTAACACCCTCGCGCGCGGAATGTGCTCCCCATCCAGGTATGGGTCAGAGTCTTAGCACCGATGCCGCCACGTGCGTCCATGCGTCTCCCCAGTAACACCAGTCTCGCGCGTGGATACGCGAGCCCGACCCTCACACCACGGCTTGGCAGCACGTTCTGCCTGCTGGCCGTGCTGAGGCTCCTTCCCTGTCATCGGTCCGAGGCGCCAGACGCAGCGATGCTGCTGGGTGATGCAGCAGCGGCGCGGTGCTGGCTCCCGGACGGCGTCCAGGCGGCGCGCGGCGGAGGAGCCGGCGCCCTAGGCCAAGGTCGCGGCGTGAAGCGATGGCGGCAGCGTTCATGCAGTTTCCAGAACCGTGCACGACTCACGGATGGGTACACTCCAGTCATGTCGGAAGCGGAGCGCTTTCCGGAAAACATTGCTACTGTGCCGACACTCCCCGCTCGTCCCAGAAATCTCGCCACGAGCGCAGCCGCGTGCGATATTGCGCCAGCCGCCGGTGCCTCTCCAACAGGCAATCGCCGGCTAATTGCCTCTCCCCGTCATCGCATGATGCGTCACGCGGCGCCACCTGTGCGTGCGTGCTACGCGCATGCGGCGGCTGCTCGGCGGCCGCGCGTCACGCGCCGATCGGAACGCGGATGCGATCGGCGCTTAGTCAGCGGGGGTCTCGTGCGCCGCCGTCGTGCCGTCCCGCGCTCGCCGAGACGCTCAACAAAGCCCGCGTCGGCTTCCGCACCAGCCGCTTCCAGCGATGTCCGGTTCCGCCTCCGCGGTGGCCGAGCGGCCGGCCGTCGCCGCCGCTGCCACGAAACCGCGCCTCTTCCGACGGGGGAGGCACAGTTCGCGGCAGCGGCGGCAGCGGCGGCGGCGGCCGGCCCTCATGGCGTGCGGATGTTGCGACTCGGAAGCGGGTGGGCTGGGGCGGCCCGGCGACCGTCGCCCCCGGGAGCCGACCCCGCCGGCCGTCTGTGTCTGCGCCGACGCGGTGGCCGCCGCAGATAAGGCTGCGCACGCTTCCGCCGACAGCCCCGCTTCCGCCGGGCCGGCGGCGCGTGGTCGCGGCACGTGCTGTGCAACCGGGCGCGAGCGCGGCGCGAGGGACACGGCCGCGCCTCACTGCAGCGTCGCTTGACCCCGCGCAGCTATCCGGCGCGCTGTCCGGGGCCTGCGGAGAGGTTTGCGTTTGCTGGGGTCGTCCCAATTGGCGACGGCTTAAAACGTACGTCCTGGAGATGTGGCGTGGCAAGCGAGTGAACGCGGAGATAAAGAAGCTTGGCCATTTCACTTGCCTTTTGTCTTTGCTCAAAAAGATATCGTCCAAAAAGTTAAGTTACCTGAAACAGGCGAGCCAAAACTATGTAAGTAATGCGGTGTACTGAATCAGTTCTTCATCAGTCCTGCGGCTCAAATCCGGCCAGTCGCCGTGTTTATTTCCCGGCATGAGTTATGTCCGAGCTATGTATAGCCAACGAAACCAGCCCGTGAATGATCACACTGGAATCTAGCTTGAATTGCCTCGGGACGTTTCCGCGTGACCTCACCAGCGGACATGGCGGTCAGGAAAGCCACTGTCGGGGGTGCACCAGACAGCGCTGACGTCACTACCGTCAGCCATGGGCCCGGCTCGAAGAAGCCGTGTGCAATCTGCAGTTGAATGGGAGTCTGACGTTGTCTGATACTGAGAGTACTGCTGTTGAAGGGAGTGTCCCACCGTTTGGGGCCTCTGTCAGAAGCATACTCTGGTGAAACCTCAGGACCAGTTAGCTTAATGATAGCACTCGGTAGCACTACTGCAACGCCATCAAAACACGAGAAGAATGCAAATTTTAATTATTTTCAGGTCCAAATTACGCTGTGACGCTTTGCAACAGCGGACACTTCTTTCCCGCAGTCGCGACAGTCGTCGTGGCGACGGCGGAATCTGCTGGCTGCCCGCTGTCATCTTTCACTGAGAGGGAGTGTTCCACATATGTGTGGGATTTTGAACTGAAATGACCATCTTGAAGATCATTCGGTGCAGTTCACAGCCCTGCACGTCTTAAGACTGAAACCCCTCTAGTTTCTGAGCTGCACTCCCGCGAGGATATGCAGGCTATTTCGGGAGGATTGTTTCAAGATCACCCGGGCATCCATGACGCCATTATGACGTAATTTAGATACGGTCATGCCGTTAGCCATGTGGCGATCAAGGCTAAGAAAAATGTAATTGTCGAGTCGTTCATAAATGACGTTCGTGAACACGATTTCCAGATATGACGACGATCAATTGGCTCTCAATCGATGTTGTGCAAGGTGCGATGACGTAATAAGACAATGACGTGTTAAGGAGCTCATTTACGAAGCAGAGAAATTGTGTTGTTCAGGGCTGACTTTTCCACTTAAATGTCTACCAATAGTTGCAAGTTATCTTATTTAATCATACTTAATGCTTGCTTCGCTATCTTCCAGTGTGGAATATTCCCCTGCATGACGTCAGCACAAACGAGCATTTGTGATTGACACGGGGGCGGCAAGGGCCAGTTGCCGAAAAGTGCATTGGTTGAAGTTTGAACCATGCGTCATGATAAACCATGTGATACTCAGTTTCCCAAAGCCAAAGTACGCTTCGAAAAGAGCTACGGTAGTAAACGCCATAGAGGCGAAATCGAAGTCATAGTGTAGTGTTTCGTTGAATTGGTGGGATGATAGCTCCATGTTCGCGCATTTTTTTCAGATAGTGTTTCAAACTTTCGTAGCGTTTACTACACATATATTTTAACACAGGAGTGTGTCGCAATCACTGTACAAAACACACACGTTGGAAAAATCTGCGCCAACGAAGGGTATTACTTGCATCGTGGTGAATGGAGAGTCAAATAAGATTTCTCCCTCAGCAGCTGCTGCTTCACATTGAAATTCTGAACTGTTTGGAAGGATAATGAGAAAACTGCATTGCTGATCAAATCGTACGCGTCTGACCTAACAATAAGTGAAAGGAATAAAAAGGTGGCATGCTTCCTTCAAGGGCGTTAACTGTCACACGCCAGTAGTCTGGTCTTCTGTGTTCTGTTGTTGATAGTGTTGTAGGCGATGTATGAGGATGGTCATAAATTCCGCGGGCCGTTCGATCTGTTTTCGTGCCTCAGGGTGGGTGGCGTTCCGATGGTGGCGCAATTTCGGCTGTTGGCCCCACTGAAAGCCTGAAAGCTCACCCCCACCACGGTCTACCGGCGCGGGACTCGGTCGTTCGATTGAAGCGGGCCGCGGTTGGGCTGCTGCGAATGCGGACAGTTGGACGTTCGATGCTTCCATTCAGCCTGCGCTTCGAGCCGATGTTTTTTTAATGCCCTGGTGACCGACTGGTTCACGGAGTGACATTGGGCCTCCATGGAGCGAGCCCGGGGCCTTCGACATTGGGCCGCCGCGGACCCAGCCCCGAGGGCCTTCGACATTGGGCCTCCATGGAGCGAGCCCGGGGCCTTCGACATTGGGCCGCCGCGGACCGAGCCCGCCGTTGCCAAACAGAGGAGCGGCTTTGGTTTGAATGAAGCGAATTTACGCATTCCTGTGCGACCATCGCTAGGGCTCATAGCTGTCGCACGAAACGCCTTTTTTACTTTAAAAAACACTGCGGACGGGATGTTTACATGACATAATTTGGGTTATTCTAAACATTACGCGCTTGCGGAGGGTTTAATCGCATAAGCATGACAGGACGCCATCTGGTGATCGCCGGCGATCTGGAAACCGAACGGCGTCTGCAGATCACCCTGATCGCGCCGAAGCACCGGTCGCGTGGTGTGACGTCACGCGTGGCCTTAACCCCGGGAAGGTTACGCAAGCCGGCAGCACTGCACGGATCCGCGGTTTTTGAGAGTGACCGCGGCATTGCTCAACGGGGCATCGCTGGAATGTTGATGTCGCGTGGCATCGGGGTCGGCGGTGTAAACGGCGGCGCGGCGCGTGGTGTCGGGTGTCACTCTGATCTCCTCGTTAACTCCGACACTCACTCTCTCCGCGCCGCTCCTCTGTACTGTTTTCTTTTTTTCCGTCGTCCCATTTTTTCCTTTCTACCTTGTTGCAGCGATCTGTCCGGGGATGTTGCCAGCTGCCGCCGTTGTTTGTCCCGGGATGTTCCCAACTGCCATCCTCGTTTGATCCTCGTTTGTCCTGGGATGGTAACATTAGGTGTTCGGTTCTGAAGTTTGTTGCGTGTGGTAATAGTTGATGACCGAATATTTTTCTTCAACGAATGGTGTACACTTCGACTGGACTTAAGTTTGTTTTTTTATTCAAGAAACCTGAAACTGGACAAATAAAAAAGACAGCCGAATGCAGCAATAGAAGCTGATACTATATGCCCGAAGTCAATACGGTTGGTTGGTGCGCATCAGCGCCCAAGCAAATTTTTGATTCCGTTGAGACCATTCAGGCTGTTCTCTCACTCGTCTCCAAATAATCTGTTACTGTATCTTTTCTTCTCTCTCCTGCGCTTTGCGCTCGACTTTCATTGTCGCGGCCGATCGTTAAGGTAATCATCGTCTATATTATCAGCGTGCCAAACCCGAATCAAACAATTATGCCTGATGGAAAAGCTGTTTTCTAGTATGCGTTGCGACTAAAGTTCGACAGATATAGACCGATATGGCCCTTGTGATACGCTTCTGGAGGACAGAAAATGCTGGGGCAGCAGTCGTCGGACCACACGGGCACGACATCCCATCGTGAGTCCCTGGAAAGGTAAATGGCTCCCACGTTGGCGAAATCGTTGATCCACTCATGCACGCTACCATAGAGATTATATCACAAGGCCTGTCGTGCAAAGGTTCGGCCCCAGGTGGGTAAACCAAGAGACAGCTGCCGAACAGCAAGCAGTTGACTGGTAATAAACAGGGAGTGCGATGAAGAGTGGCGCGATATTCCTGTTTTAAAAAGCGATCAAAAAACTGCGTTTTGATTTGTTTCTTTGTCTTTTTCGGCTTCTCTTCAGCACGCGCTCACC